CCCCATGATGACAAGATCATGAGTAAATAATTAGCAATCAAAGGTCGTAATGGTCCAGACCTTCCTATACTGCTGGTCTTGTTGAAAGTTAACTACGGGGTATTTGCAGCCAGAGGTCCAAGATAAGCAAGACAGAAAGGTTTAGGGAAGCAGCCTGGAATGGACACCCAGCGCGGAGAGTAGGAAGTTCTGAGCAAAAACCTGCATCTGGCGCTCAGACGCAGGAGGGCTCTGGCAGGGATGAAGCGAGGAAGGGGGCGCGTCTGGACAGGCCTGAGCAGGGCAGACCGGGGAAGCTGGGGCATGAGACAGAGCAACACAGCCATCCGAGCGGGAGGCATCGAGGCAGAGCAGGCAATCCAAGCCAACAGCCATGGTACCCTGGGCACAGTCCTGGAAATGAGCTCTGGGAGTGAAAACAAGAGGAGAAAGGCAGTGTCTTCAGCTGGCATTTAATAGGAAGCTGGCTTTGAAATTAGTAATTTGGAGACACAGAGAAGGCACATAAATTTTAAGACAGCTCTCCAAGATCAGCTCCATTTTCTGAGAATAATTATTGGAAAAAAAAAGAAGAAAAAGATTATGGCTTCTCAGAGCAGCCCATATATGCTAATCACACTGCACTCAATATGCTAATCACAACAAGGGAACACTGCCCATTATCGTGAAACACGGCAGATGCTGACACACCACCCAAGGCTGTTCCTGTTGCTCTGGCATATTGCAAGAAGCCGTATGGAGAAGCAGAACAGAAATGCGTGGGTGGGAGAAGCGCAGTACCATCGGTGAGACTTTGCCACTGCCCTGCGGCTTGGGTCACTTGAAGAAGAAGCCGTATTTCAGTGGGTCCTCCTCTTCAACAGTGAAGGTGGCTGTACCAGTGTAAAAGGCTTCTCCCGAGACTTCCACAATGACAGCACTGTAGTCCCCAAACTTGGCTTCCTGCAGAGGGATTAAGATCAGTACAGAGACAACAGGGGGTTTGCCACTCCCCAAACCCCACAAAATGCCAGCGCTACCTGTCACTTAGGCAGACACACCCCTCACCAAGCACTCTGCCCTGCCCAGGTACATCCCAAAGTGTGCAGCAGCCCTTTTGCCACCTCACCTTGCCTGCACGCGCTCCACACCTGCACAGCTGCTGCTGCCCCTGCTCTGAGCTTGCGAGCCCCCTGCGCTGCCACAGCGTGGGTTTACCTCTAAGGAGGCCAACAAGCTGGTGGCTGCTTGCACCCAAAGACCGAGAGCTCCCTGGGGCATGTCCAAACCTTCACAGCCATGTGCTTCCAGATGCCATGGCGCCTGGAAATCTGGACGCACAGACCCAGCTTCTACATCTCCGAACAGCGCTCTCAGCTTTTGAGCGGGGAAGAGGGGACTAAACCAGGAATCCACCCTTAGCTGCCACTGAGAACAGACCAGGCTGACTCATATACATCACATGTTTCTCACCCCAGTGCTCTCCTGATGGCTGAGGTAAGATTTGCAGGGAAGCCACGCAGCAGAACAAGGTCTTACCGTTACTTGCTTCCCTAATAAAGAATCCTGAAGCGTGAGGCTTGTTGGAAGGCAAGTACCCCCAGGCACCTCCTTCTTCCCATACACCCTTCCCCAGGTATAGAAAGGCTTTTCTGCTGCTCCTCTGAGCCAAGGCAACAGCACTTTTCCAGCAGTCCTCAAGACAGAGGGAAAAGTCCAGCGCAAGTGACTTGCCTTCACTGCCTTCCCGGTGAACAAGGACCCCGTGGTGCTGCTCCGAAAGCTTCTGGTCTGATTCAGCTGGATGAGTCCCTTATGGTACTGCAAGGCGATGCGAGCTGTCACACCTGAACCTGTAGGACTTCGGTCAACCTACATTCAAGAAGAGAAGATGAACCAGCTCTAGTATTTTGGGTTTTAATAGAAAACAATATTGCTCCCCTCAGTTCTCCTTGCCACCTTTATACTGCGCTTGGGGGAAACCCCTCTAGCCCAGGGTTTTGTAGAGAATATGGATACATCACAAATAAGAAAACAAAACAGGCAAGTTTGGGGGACTTCTGGATTGTCATCAGCTTTGGCAAACTTGTAGGGATGAATGATCTGATAAATATTGAGGCTATTTAGGGAGCACTTGAAAGCTTCCCAGCATCACAGCAAAGGACTGAGAAGGGCAGAGGCCACACATTCCCAATTCTCAGGCGTCAAGGTGGGATCAGTTCTCCTTGCGCTTAACTGAGAGAGCTGCTGGCCAGCCTGGTTTTCAAAATCTCCAGAAATACAGCATTGGCCAACTTCCGAGGTGATCTGTCCCAATGCTCCACATTCCTTGCTGCTAGGAAGTCCTACCAAAACTTCCCCTGCTATTTATGCGATACCTTACCCACTGCAGATGAGGACAGGAGTTTACAGCCCCTCTTTTCTCTCTTGCTCTGTTCATCCCCAGCAACTGTTCCCTAGATTAGGACTTCGGGGACATGCACTATGCTGGGATCCCGCCTCAGCGCCTGGACTCCTGGGAAATCCCATACCTATGGGACATGGGTATGAACCTTTTTAAATGCCACCATCTAAGATGTGCAAAAGTATTTCTGTCATTAGGAACTAATCCAGCGTGTGTCCAGTGACACTCAGCTCTTCAGAGACATCACTGCAGCTGAAGCAATGCTCACTGCCCAAAATGAGAAGAAACAGGACCATCTCTCGTCTCTGCAGTGTATGTAAGAAGGGAAAAAGGCGGTGCCTTGTGTGTCTGAGAAGAACCTGTTTCTGTACCTGTTCATCTGCAAACACGCAGATGTTGGTGGTGGGCTCCTCACTGAAGGCATCTTTCCCATCGGTCAGTATGGTGCCGTAGAGGAAAGCCAGGTCTTCGCTTTCAGGGTGATGAAGCTTGAACTGGGAACAGCACAGACAAGTTGACCAACGCACGCAGCGGCTGGGCAGTCAGCAGTACGTGCAGTACAGCTTCCTCGAGAGACCAGAGGAAGGGGCCAAGGACACACTGCTGGGTTTCCACCTCTGCTTCTCCAGCAACAGAGATGGACGCAGCAGCAGGAAAGCAACCTCCTTCTCATGTCCTTGTAAGGCCGGAGGAGGACTCCAAAATTCAACATGGGGCTGGAAAGATGGGACTCCCTCCCATCCTGAGCATCTCGGGCGAATAAAGGGCCTCGGTCTGCTGCAGTCACCCCGAAGGAAACGTGCTGCGGTACCACAGTGCTCCACCATACCTGGTTTTTCACCGCTTTAGTCACCGCACTGGCCGCACTGACAAGGTCTCTGGTCTTCGAAGAGCAGACATCAAGGCCCAGCTGCTCAGCGCTGACGAAGGCGTAGAAAGTGCCACCATAGCCGATGTCAACCACCACCTTCCCATGACCAGGGACGTTGATGGTCAAGTCTGGGCAGAGAAAGGGAGGGCGGTGAGAAGAGGAAACCATGCTGAGTGGTGGCTCACAGGCAGAGCCAGGGAACCCTGCTGCCTGCAAGGAGGAGATGGGGACAACAACTTGAGTGCTCCCATGCCAGAGTGGGATGTGACGCCCTATACCATTCCCGACGGCCTCATCCAGCCTCTGCGGGACAACGGAAGGGGGGCCAGGCCGCCAGCCCCCACCCTGGCATGGCCACCACCACCCTCTCCCCTAAAAGTAGTGTGGCAGGCTCGGTCCCCACCGGTGGCAGCGGTGAAGGCAGGCACGCTGTGGAAGCGGACAGGGTTGCCGCTGCGGTGGCCATCCCAGGGCACGAAGGCAGTGACAGGCCCACAGGGGCAGCGCAGGCGGACGGCAGTCTCAGGGCAGCTGGGGGCTGCCACCAGCCCGTAGTCGAGGGCGAAGCGGCCGAGGGCCAGGACGGCATGGCCGCACATGGTGCTGTAGCCGGCGCCATGCAGGAAGAGGGCCGCCAGGTCGGCACCGGCAGCGGCCGCCCCGCTGGCCACCACCACAGCCCCATACATGCCAGCATGGCCCCGCGGCTCGTGCACCAGTGCCCGCCGCACGTGGTCCCGCGTGGCTGCCACCTCCCGCCGTAGCGACAGCAGTGACATCGCCCCAGACGACGATGCCTCCTCTGCCTCCTCCAGCCGCGGAATGATGCGCAGCGGCTCGCCGCCCGTGTGCATCTCCACCGTCTGCAGCACCAGGCCCGAGGGCGAGTGCGGCGGCAGTCGCCGTCCCGCACCGCCGCCGCCACCCTCCGCCGCCGCCATCGCCCTCGCCCCGGCGGGGCGGGGACGGCGTGGGGCTCGCCCCCGTCCGAGACCACGCCTACGCCCGAGACCACGCCCCCAGGCGGAGCAATCCCGCCCCTGCGCCTGGCCTCACCCACGGGCAGAGCACCCCCGCCCCTTGCGTCTGACCACGCCCTCATCCCTCGGAGGGTGGAGCTTGTCCCTGCGTCGGAAGCGGAAGTGGCGTGTACGGAAGTGGCTCCGCGGAGCCGGAGGGCTTGTTGCTGGGTTACCGGGATGTTCCGCTCCGGTAGGACGGGGCGGGTCGGGCAGGGGACACCGGGCCTGGTGGTCCCGGGCTGACGATGGGGGTGGGGATGGGGTTGGGGGGATTGTCAGCAGCTGGAGCAGGCCGGGGGTGGCGCTCGGTGCCTCTCGGCTGCGCGGGAGCCGCGGTGTGCGAGGCGGGGCGGGCCGGAGCGGATCGGATCGGAGCGCCGCGGTAACGCGGGCTGCCCTCTCCCCGCAGCTGTAGACATCCAGCCCGCCTGCCTCGGGCTGTACTGCGGAAGGACCGTCCTGTCCGTCAACGGCTCTGTGGAGACCTACGGGGACTGCGGGGTAAGCGCGGCGCGGGCTCGGCTCGGCCTGGGGAGGGGGTATGGCTCAGTTCCCTTCCGGGCTGGGCCCGGCATCGGCAGGGCGGGCCGGACCCTCCTGAGACTGATGTGTAAGCAGCACAGCAACCCACAGCCCAGCCCCGAGGTGCAGGTGGAGATGAGGGTTGCAAAGGGTGGGCAGAGCTGCCTTACCGAAAGGAGGAGCTGCTCAGTGAAACGTTCCCCCAAGGAAGTTCTAAACCGGAGCCAAGCAGAGGGGCTGCAAAAGCTGGAACAGGATAGGGTGGTATGGAGAGCTGTGCTGAAATCACTCTGCCCACTGATTTTATTGATGTACTAAGGGAGAGCAAGATCCAGGGAGGGTGGAATGAATGGGGAGCAAGAGGCTCTGGGCGTCAGTGGTTGTGATCAGCCTGGTGAGTGAGCTTAGTGATGAAGGGGAGGTGGCATGACAGCAGGAGAGGAAAAGAGAGTCTTGGATGAAGCCTTTTAAACGTGCTTCACCTTTGTTTATATTAAAAAGCAAGAGCTAGAGAGAGCAACGCCTGTGTAAGCTGAGGAATCACTGATGTTAATGTTTTACCCTTTGAAAATCTGATATGTTTCTTACCCCAATACTACTTCAGGTTGTTTTTCCAGGAACTGTAAATGATTTGTTATTGGTACTCAGATGCTTTGTAAATACAGTCTCTGCTTTTTGTAGGTATGCCCGAGAGGTCAGAGGACTGATGAGAACAAAATTTGCCGGGAATGTATGGGATCTCCGGATCGCTATGACTGGCTATACCTTGGCTTCATGGCCATGCTTCCCCTGGTTTTACACTGGTTCTTTATTGAATGGTATTCAGGAAAAAAGAGGTTTGTATACCCCTTCTTCAGATAAGTTATTTAAAAACAGAAATCTTGTATCCATGAGCGGTCAATCTGAGATGCTGAATTGAACTGTCCAGCAGTTCATGCTGTTGGTTGAGCTGATACAATAGCACATAAGCGTGGGCAGCTGGAGGGGGTTTTATTCACAAATGTAAGTGTCCTGCAGGTCCTTCTTGCCAGTCACTGCCCTCAGGACATCATCTGTGTCTCTTTAATGTGATGTCCAGTCCATCTGGCAATTTGGGCTGGATTGAGTTTCCCAGTAGCGGGCAGGAGCAGTATGTTGTGTCATCCCCTCTCTCATGGGCCAGACCTACCACCTGCGGAGGCCTCGATCAGCAGTGCTGAGCACTTCCAACAAGAGAATGGGTTTGAGTTTTATCTTTAGGAATGAGTACACCGGGTTTTGGTCCTGATAGCATAACTGATGTAGCCTTTATGTCAGCATGGTACATCAAGGAAGTTCTGTAAAAAAGGGGTTTACAACCACAGCTGCATGTGGCCATTAGGTGCTGGACTGGAACTTTTAAGAAGTAATGACTCAGGAGTGTACTAAACGCTGAAAACATAGGGGACCGAGAGAGTTTAATATATGAATATATACCATCTTTAACAAGGACTTGCAGCTTTGAAAATTTTGCTTATATGGTATGTAACAATGTTATCCCTTCTGACATGTGTTGGTGTCTTATCCTCACTGCTGCTTTCTTTGAAACTGTAATAGCATGAGTGTTGCTGTCCCTCACCTGACAGGATGCTCATGCTACGGCAAGCAGAGAATTCTCCTTCTCTGGAGATACTCAAAACCCGCCTGGATGCGTTCCTGTCCAACCTGCTATAGGTGAAGCTGCTTTGGCAGGGGGGTTGGACTATATGATCTCCAGAGATCCCTTCCAACCCCTGCCATTCTGTGATTCTGTGACTTAAGAAGCTGGAATGTTGTTTAGTTACATTTTACACCTAAGTCATCTGAGATTTTAAATGATTTTTCACATTCAGCTTCAAATACTTAACTTTTTATTCAAGCAGAGTTGTCCTATCCTTGGTCATGGTTAATATTAACTCCGTAGGAGGTTCTGTACTGCATGGGCCTCCACTTCCCAGCCAGCATTTAGATTTCCCATAGTGTTAGCAAAATAGTAGTAAATCTCTCTCTCTCTTCTTCCACAGTTCCAGTGCGTTGTTGCAGCATGTCACCGCCTTGTTCGAGTGCAGTATTGCAGCAATTGTTACACTGCTTGTCAGCGACCCTGTTGGCTCTCTGCATATCCGCTCCTGCAAGGTGAAGAAGCTTTCGGACTGGTACACGATGCTTTACAACCCCAGTCCCGACTACATCACCACAGTGCACTGCACTCATGAAGCAGTCTATCCCCTGTGAGTGTAAACGCTTTTGTACTCCTCTCTGTCCCTTCCTTTTATACAAGTGTGTTTCTCTCTGCGTCTCTTCTCAAAGCTGCAAAAAGTGTTCAGATATAACTCAGACCAAGGGGTATCAATTGCCTGAAGTCTCATGCATTGAGCTGTTTTATGTGTGAAACTCTTAGCAACACCTAATGTCTTTCTGAGTCACCAAAGAAGGCGGGGTAGTGCATGCTATTTAGCTATGAAGCATAAGAATTCAGTTTTTTTTTTCCCTTTGCTGAATCTTCACTGTTTCCTCGAGGAGAAGCGAGCTCTTCATTCTGTGTTGACATCCTTTGGTTGTAAATTCTTTAGACTCAACTGACTCTAACCCCAAATTCCCTGGGTGTGAGTTGAGTCTGCAGGAGAAAAAGGAATTCCTTAGAATGCACATTCTAAGGAATTTATCTTTTTTTTTTTTTCAGGTACACCATTGTCTTTATATATTATGCCTTCTGTCTTGTGTTAATGATGCTACTTCGGCCTCTTCTGGTTAAGAAAATTGCCTGTGGTTTAGGAAAGTCTGATCGATTTAAAAGCATTTATGCAGCACTGTACTTCTTCCCTATCCTCACCGTGCTTCAGGCTGTTGGAGGAGGCCTGCTCTGTGAGTTCTCTCCTAACGCTAATAAATGTACCTATAAACACACATTAACAAATGGCTTGTGGGAGGGAAGGCACATGCCACTCTTCTTGCTTTAAGAATAAGGATGTTGTTTAAGGTTATTGTGAGGAGTCTTACCTGAAAGCTCTGTCCCTGACCAGGCTCCTGACCAACACTGCTTTGCCTCTGCTGGTGCTGCCAGGGACCGTCCCTTTCCCAAAAAGGGAGTAGAGAGGGTATGAGGGGAAATGACTTCAGAGGGAGTTAATTCCACTTTCTGCTAAGGTAGAGTTTGATTTCAGAGATGGGTTAAAGTGTAAGTTTGGGGAGATCAGCTATTTTTGGTTTAGCTTCCAGCATACTTGTCACGTGAAGGGGACAGGTGCCACAAAATCCCCATTCAGCCTGATTACATTTCTCATTGTCTGCCTTTTTCAATTAGTGATTTAAGTGTACATTAACTCCAGCTAGCAATATTAGAAAAAGTTTGAAAACCTAAGATGGAAGTGTTGGATAGTTGTGCTTGGCTGACCCTTACTGCTGTGCATGTTTGATGTGATGGTAAGGGGTGGGCTATAGCAGCTTCGGTTACTTCACACCCATGGTTATATGTGGAAAAACTATCTCCACTGAAAGGTATGTAATGCATTCTTTTTCCCGCTAACGTGTTCAATCTTTGCCTTTAGATTATGCCGTTCCCTACATCATACTGGTGCTGTCTTTGGTTACACTGGCTGTGTACATGTCTGCTTCTGAAGTGGAGGTAAGTAAACATGTTTCCTATGTTAAAACTCGTAAAATACTCGAGACCACTTTGTCTCTTGGTTTTCCCCATAGTGCATTCTGCGTTTAAGCCTCTTCCTTTATCACTCCTCCTCCTCTTAACTGGAGGAAGCTCCTGCGAGACTTCCCTCTTGTGGTGTACTGAGAAACTGTGTTCAGTGCTGGAAGGGCTCAAACCCAGGAGGCTTCATACAGGCTCTGTGCACTACCTGTAACATCTCATAAACATCAGGTAGTAGGTCACAGGCTGAACGCTAATGGGATGCTGTGTTTGTTTTGCAAGTCTTTCAAGGATCTTCTTGTCAGGAAGAAAAGGCTTGTTGTCCTCTTCAGCCACTGGTTACTTCATGCCTATGGAATCATCTCCATTTCCAAACTGGATAAGCTTGAGCAGGATCTGCCGCTGCTTGCCTTGGTACCTGCACCTGCCCTCTTCTACTTACTGACAGCAAAGTACACCGAACCATCGCGCATACTCTCAGAAGGTGGAAATGGACATTAAAAGGAGCCCGTGCCAACAACGCTGTCCTAATGATCTGGATTAAGCAATTTTAGTGCTTGTTATGCTTTGGAAACTTCTGTTTTAAAAGAAGTTATTTATGTACAAGACCTCTAGGTGAAACATCTCTGAGGAAACTGTATAATACTAAAAAGCTGCACTTTGTATTCTTCATAAGTATCTGATATAGATCGAAGGGAATGTCTTTGTATCTATTTTTCACTGTGAATCTGTATAAAAAGCTTGGGACACAATCTAGTACAGTGTT